CCCCCCTAAATAAATATTGTTTTAATATTAGAAATACTTTTCTTTGGCCCAACAACAACAACAACAACAACAACAGACAGTTTTTTTTTACCCGGTGCTTTGTGTGAACCTCACCTGCAACTACGCCTAACCATTATTACCTGAGCAGCAGGTCAGGTAGCATCGAGTACACCGAGTATCGATAAACCTGTAGCTCTCTCACGCACACATTCTTGTTGTAGCAGCGCTAGCCTGTGATCGTGTCGTGCGTCAGGGCTTTGTGCGTGCCGCGTGTGATGGTCGACGGCTAACAAACGGAACAGAGCAGAACGCAAAGCCTCTAATATCAAGGGGAAGGACGGACTGTTCTGGCCCGCTTAATGTTTTACCATCTGTGTAAGAAGCATCTGAGGCTGTGATTTCTTGCGGTGGGTCCAGCAGTTGTTCGTGTTCTGACTGATTTTAAAAAAAAGAAAGGACTTGCCGAGAGAGTTGGGGAGCTACAAGTAAAACGTTTTTGATACAGACCTTTGGTTTCGAAAGTGTTATATAAGTTGTTTGAGAGAATACATACAACATACAAGCTATTTCTGGATATAGAAAACGTTTTGTGCATACACAAAAGCAGGTAAGAAAGCATAATATTATTTAAGTTGTTTTAAGTGTGTTATGTATTGTACTTTTTCGGATGAGAAGAAATGGGACACAGTTGCTTGACAAAGCAACATGGGAATTAAATGACTTTATCTTAGTTTTAAGCTGACTTTTGAAGTTTCTAGATCTAGATCTAGCCTTGTGTCTCTTGAAAATGTAATCACTCGTTCATCGTGCTAACTCCTTGAATTACCTATTTATGCAGCATACCAACTTAAAGCTAAAATTAATATTTCACCTAGATTTATGTTAAACGACGCCCGTCACTCAAAACTCTCCTTTAAAAGTCAAAGAAACGTAAAATTGTCTTAGTGTGTTATTGAGGATCATCAATATTGATAGAATGGACATAAATCTACATTGCATACCCAATGAATAGAGAATGTTTTCTTTACAATGCACAATGTTTTATTACTATAGTTTTAAACAAAACGGAAAACAGAGCAATCACAAATACCACGCAAAATTTGGACGACTTTAAATACGCTCATTGTTCTTTTGCTCAGGAACCATTGGTTTTGTGTAGAGCAATAACCCTTTGGGCATCGACTTAAGTAAATTTTGAGCATAGTTATTTGTCATTTCCCCCCAGATGTCACAGACAGTTGCGAACAAATGGCCAGAGTCAGGAGCAATGTCGCTGTTATTCAGCTGTTGTTTCATGTAACTTCACATACCTGTAGGATTCATATCGGGATTTCGGGGCTATTTACTGGTAACCACTCTAACGAACGTTGATATGATTTGGTTTTTCAAGAATTGTCTAGTGGCATTGGCCTGTGAGAGAATGCTTTGCTATGCATGGAGATGTCTACTCGAATGACACCATGACGAAAAAAAGGGTAAGATAAGAAGTTCCAGCACTTGTGCGATGTTGTCCACTCAGCCAAGTCGTCCGGTAATTCTTACGAGGGCGGTTGTCCAAAACCAGGGCAGTTTCAGGGCCTCTGTTCTTCACTGATAGTTGATTATGTCCAAAATCAAACAAAGCCCTTGTGAAAAAAAGTTTTCGAGCTCTACATGAACTCCTAAATTTAATTTAAAAAACCCCAAAATCAAACAAATGAGCCAATGTTATGTCAAGTCCACGTTTTGCATGTTTTTTGTGACTATTATTTTCCAGTCTGTTTGAAAATATCACCAGAAGATGCTGTTCATTGCAGAAACAATAATACATGTATTCTCTTTTCGACTTATATTTGATACATATCCATTCCACCAATGGTGATGCACCCCAATGCACGCACGAACACACCTCTATACGTTTCTTTCTTTTTGCGAAAATTTGCCAAGTTTGATTTGTAAGGTCAATTTTGAGAGACCATATTTCGGGTGTCTCTTAACATAGATGAAATCTTGTTATGTCAGACGATGTAAAATTTATTCAGCTTTAAATTGGTACAGTATATGCTGCATGAGTGGGTAGAGCAAGGCTCTAAAATGATGATTGGGTGGTTACATTTTCAAGTTTCTTTTGGACACCACTGGATAACACGATAACACTAGGAATGAGAGAGAGAGAGAGAGAGAGAGAGAGAGAGAGAGAGAGAGAGAGAGAGAGAAAGAGAGAGAGAGCGAGAGAGAGAGAGAGCGAGAGAGAGAGAGAGAGAGAGAGAGAGAGGGGGGGTGGGGGAGAAAGGATAGATAGATAGATAGATAAGATAGATAGATGTGTGGGGGAGGAGTAAGAGAGGAAGCCAAAACAGAGACAAGGTAGATGCGTTTTACATACTGCTTAAGGCAGTAATTATACTGTTTGCTAGGGAGGGGGTGGGGGGCATGCCTTTGTGTAGTGTTTTGCGTTTTTTTGTTTTAATTTCTTCTGATTTTCTTCAGTTTTTTTTATACATACACATATGCACACATGCATACACACTCACACACACGGACATGCACACACACACACACACACACACACACACACACACACACACACACGCGCACACACTCACACACTTACATACGTAATCTCTCATACACACACACACACACTCACACACACACACACACACACACACACACACACACACACACGCACACACACACACACATACACACACTGACGGGCATATGTATAATATGCACACTTCCTTTCACTCTTTCACACACACACACACACACACACACACACACACACACACACACACACACACACACACACACACACACACACACACACTCTTCTTCCACCCCCCCCCCACCCCAAAAAAAAAGAAAAAAAAAAGAAGGAAAATCGAGATAAAAACAACCCACGGTTGAGATTTCAACCAGTCATGCCTGACAGTTCATTGTCCAGCCTGATACTACTGTTACTGACCAACAGGGGCCTAGCTCGTGCAATTTATTGTCGTGGGCAAGAGGGGCATGTTTAAACGTATAAGAGAAGAAAAAAAACAATAACGCATTTCACTTTAAATGTTTCATTTTATGGCCTAACATTAGAATATTATTATCGGCCGTTTCCTCGTTTTATAAGGGCTGATGTGACAAACTTAGTGGGCGGCTCCTATTTTCCCAAGGTCTTTTCCTCTCAGTCCAAGGACATGTCTGATCACGACAGGAACCAAAAGATCCGGATTTAATTTCTACTGCTCTAAATTGTGTGCAGCGTAGCTGAAAAAAAAAGCCAAATGATATAGGTTCAGCGCCCCTATTAACACTATTAGGTTATTTAAGACACTACGGGACCTCTGAGTTTAACGTCCATCTTCGAAAGGGCCGAGTAGCGACGCTGAGAACTAATGTCACAACGCAGTTGAGCCATGCACTCGTCAATTTTTGGGCATGTGAAGTTATTGGTACCATCTGAAAGCTCATTCACTTACCTTGCTTTTAATTTTAAAGATACCTGTATATCTTGAATAGAAGTCTAGATATTTGCGATTGGAGGAGGTGGGATCCACTGGATTCAGTGGTAAAATTAACGAGAAAATGGCGGCTGAAGTGTGGTAACTTCAATAACTTGAAAGCCCTTTTGAAAACTGAAAAATCACGTAAGGTGTTCTTTTAACCAATGTTTTTCGGTAAAATTCACATGGTGATGTGTTTTGATATGGACATAAAAGGTGCTGAGCCACAAAGAAAAAATTGTTTTTTAAAATTTCCTGACTGGCGAAAAAAATACCCTTTTCTTCGATTTCACTATTTTGACGAGCCCTTGATTTCATCAAGATTGTTCATTGTTCGGTGCAAAAAGACGGCTGGCCGCTGCCTGTGATGTAGCTGTTAGTTAGCCACTTTGCTGCCATACAAGAGAACCCGAGTTCGATTCCCGAACGGGGGAGAGAATTTTTATCGAGTATCTCCGTCATTCTGCTTGGCTGTTTTATCTCTCTCAGGCTGGGTTGACCCTGATAAACAGGGCTGAAAGCCCGCCCCCTAAATGGTTTAAATTATGTTGATGGGGGCGTAAAACACCTACTTTAGTTCTAAAAGAAAGCAGCTGTTTCGAATTTAATCTAGATCTATCCATTATCACATGTCTCGTTTAAAGGGATAATTTTGACAGCCTTGTGCTACTTGTTGTGGAGAAGGTGAGACATCAACGTCTCGTGCCTGGCCTTTCCTCGTCTCTACTGTGTGTTTTGGGGTCTAAAGTTTTGTTCCTACTGTTCTGTATATGTGCCATGCGTTCTGCGTCTCCACAAGCAGTTGGAAAAAGATCTCAGTCATTTTTTACTAACTGCTTAGGACTTCGTTTATTCTCCACTCTCAACATAAAACCGATCCCAGAAAATCCTGTATTATCAAGAAATTTGGTAAAGTCACCCCCTCCCGTCTTTTCCGATTTCGATCGTCCTTGACCCTGTGAACTGACCTGGGCTGGGCTCACCACGGAGGTCGTAATGTCGTAATTGCAGCTATGTTTTATAGGAACAAAATTATAATCAAGCTCCAATCGTCGTGATGCGCAAAGGCATTGCGTGGTATGCTTAACTTTCACCAGAAATTCCTGCTAGGCAATGACGTTTTCAAATTGACAAATTGAATTCAACATAATTATCCTATCGGAGACATTTCGCTACCCTAGAATTAATTACAAAGGTCTGTCTGCTCAGTATCTAGTTTTGAGACCTTTGAAGTTTAAAAAAAAATTGAGTTTCACAACATTTCAAGCTTTTTCGAATGCATTTCTTTGAATATCTTGATAATGACTCCAAATAATCTTAAGATTTTGATAGAGCAGATAGAATATTAATGGGTCTTAGTAACTCTAAAAGGCCGATATGTTAGTTACAACTTTATAATTCAAAGGTAGCGATTTATCGTACACGTCCTGTTAAAGCGTTGCGAGAGACCAACAAAGAATGCCGGAACCAAAACACAGAAGGAATGATCTGGTATGTTTGTCACGTGAACCACTTACACAATAAGAGGGTGTCTGGCCTTGCTGTTGATTTATGATCCGAACTCTCTGGAGAACCACTCTGAGGCCAATCACTCTCACTTAACGACATGTGGGACTTCTTCGAGTGTCCAGGGTGTCCTGAAAGTGCGTGTTGTAAACCGGAGTGAATTTTAATAGGGCCTATTTCGTCAAACAGCTGTTCAGGTGTACAATAAATAATAAATGTATTAAGTTCAAATTTTGAATTTTCAAAAAAGTACAGTTTTTATACTTTCTGTTGCATTTGCTCAAGAAATAATACAGTTTTTTTCGAAATTAAACTTCTAAATTAATGTTGAAAAAAAAAGCAAAAAAGATGCATAATCTATGAACAATTTTTTTTATGAACAACTGTTTTATAAAAGAAATTCTCTTCCAAAAATGCTTACTAGGCTTTAAACAGTTTTAAAAACAAACGGCCAGCGATTTTGTGAGCTTCTATGATTCATGTCTTCAAATATTATACATAAAAGATTCTATGATCAGGTTCAATTTAAGGGGGCCAGGGGAGTCGTAATATTGATCCAACATTTTATTTTGTGAAATTGTGTCAATTAAAATAAGCTTTAGTAAATTGATAAAGACAC